CGCAATGTTTCATTAATCTTATCAATCTTTTCAGATATTAGTTTGAACGCATCGTTAATTTCTTCACACCGTCTACCATTAATATTCCGTTGATTAGTTTGATCGCGCGAAATTGATCTGATATCTCTATTCACTACTTGTTCGAATGTTTGTAACTTATCGTTAGATATAAGATTATGAAATACTTCTCGAGTAACTATTTGTTCATCATTATTTAATTTAATATTGAACAATGAATTCATTATGCAAAGTTAAAAGGACTTACCACTGAAGTTGGCTGGTTGGCTAGAATAGGATGAGTGGGCCAACCACTCGCTGCTACCAGTTGATGTGTGGGTAATATGCGGTGGATCGAGTTGCGCAGTAGTATAAGAATATAGTTTATTGAATATTATCAATTAGTCAGTTACAATTGAGATACCACGGAAGTTGCCACTTATTGGCCCTTTGAATGAGGAGACGGTGGACGAGAGTTTTAATATAGATTTTCAATAACGATTCAGTTGACCAAGGAGAATGCTAATTAGTGGCTATTACACACAGATTTTCTACGAATATTCTTAATTAATTAACGACAAAGTTAGTCACACTTATTTCTTCAACAACCCCAAGGATGAGGCCAAGTACTGGCTCTTTGAGTAAGTAACACCAATATTATTATTTCAACAACACAAATATTACTATTTCAATAACGAATATCACTGAAGCGCAACCAAACTAGCTTTAACGCACTTGATACAATAACTCGTCTCCCCTTCTCCGGTCTTCTTGTTGCTTTTTAAGCTCCTCCATCGCTTCATCTTTCTCATGCCCCTGCAAGATGGTATTCGTAGATAAGGTCATCTGCTGATGCTTTTAGCTTTCAGATAATGCCTTTGTTTTGACTGTAGGTATGCATTTTTGCTTGGTATGTATCTTTTCATAAACATGCAACAAAGAGAATGCAACAAATATGCAACAAAGATGTTGCCTTTCTCATGCATTTATCTTTTGATCTGATCTTTTCATTGCATATTTTGGGAATTCGAAAAGAATTCGAAAAGTGCAATGTTTACACTGTCAAACGTTGAAAATGAACCTTTGTTCCTTTTTCCAACCTATGTTTCCTCCCCGGCATCAGTTGGGTCAGCATACTCGTCATCTTACCATCACATACACCGAACATAGTTGCCCATGTTGTTATCCGAATAAATATCAATCATGTCCTTCACAGCGAGAACAAAAGGAAATACAGCATCATGTCACTGCCACCCAATTGTTTTGTAGCCAAATTATTTATTAATCTCACAATCAGACGGACTGCTAGTGATGTAATTATATTAAACAGTTGAGAGTCTGATTGATTACTCAACATCTAACCGTTCGGAAGAGTACGGTAGGTTCGATTTCAATGCAGTGTTCTACAAATCTGCAATGCATTTATATACCTTAATGATGGAGGAAGTATGCATTCACTTGCCAACGAAGGAGTAGTCAGCTGTAGCGCTACCATTCGCGAAATAATAGCTGGCTGAAGCGCTGTCGAAAGACAACAGCATCATTAGCGGAAGGTAATGCTACAAAATGCCGCTATTTGAACACAATAGCGTTTTATTCGCTATCGCTATTCCGGTGTTAGCACAATACCAGAATAGCACGCTATTGCCCACTTCTGGATATAGGTATCGCCTCTGATAATTCCTTGTCAAAATTTGTGCATTCGATAAACAATTTGTGATCACTACTTGTAGCATAACCATTACTGCATGACATAATCAGTATATTCAACCTGACGATTCATCACATAAAAGCATGTCATATGACCTGATGAACACGTGTTAAAAAACTGAGTGAACTTCACAATCAGCCAATGAGCTTCGCTATTCATCACCCAAGAACATATCATGCAGTCTAATTAACAAGTGTCGTGAAGTAAAAAAATAGCGTAAGGACATGTCAATTGAGATAAGGACATGTCGATGGCCAATCGAAACTAACACCAGTTGATATTTACGTCGGTTTGGTCCATTTCTAGCGACTGTTCTCCTCCTTATAAATTCTAATGCTGAAGTAGGATATCCTCATTAATTTCACCTTTCTTTTTTACGCTACAATCGATCAATAGTGTTGAAATTTAATCTGGAGCGTTGCTAAAATTTCCATCTCGTATCCCAAATAGGAACATATGCGTGTAAAGTAATTTGTAATGTGAACGTCGTCTGAAGCGAAGCATGCAAATGCATAAAAATCTATATCGCTCTATTGCATATCAGAATCGCGGTCGTATTTCGGAATGCTGAATAACTGCAAGTGGAACCGTGATGGACCTGAACAACTGAAGCTACGAACATTCGAATTTTGTGCTGGTCCGGACGATAGTCGATTGAAAGTGAGTGGATGCTACATGATACTTGATCTGTAACAAGCTTCCGCTAGACTAGATCGTTAACCTACGTTATAAATAAACCGGAACTTTTTTACTTTGAGGGGGGGGGCGCACACGAGCACGCTCGCGCATGACAACCGATGTCACGCCTACTGCGCATGGCCTCAGCCTAAGTGTGACCTCAGCCTCATCTAAGCGTAGCATCAGATCACAGCGTGGGATAGCAAGCGAGTACAGGCTTAGGCTTAGGCTGATACTACGCTTAAGCTGCAGCCACGTGCAGTAGGCGTGGCCTTGCTCCATGTGAAAGCGTCGTTCTTATTGTGCGAGCGTATGTGTGTATCGTTGTACGCGAGCGTGCTCGCATGCGACCCCCCTCCCCCCGAAAGTGAAAAAGTGCCAATAAATCATTATCATTAACCTGTGCTCCTTACCTGTTGGCAAAATTAGCCTATTATGGGAAACATCAAGCTGAAAAGCTGAGCTATTAGACAGTACCACTGTTCCATTATAATCGATGTAAATGAGCGTGGATTTGTGAACTTAGCAGCAAACCTCGAATCTTACTCTAACTGCAAATCTGTATTTTGAACAGAGTTAAGGTTGGAAAAAACACTTCAGATGGCACAAAGCGAGCAAATTAATTAAATTCAAACTGATGCGGAATGTTACCATCAGATCATCGTAATATAAGACACCTTTCACAAGAGGATATTCTATCGCTCGCTAGATGAAATACTCGTCACCTTTATGCGCGACTATTTTCGAAACATATACAGATCAATAATCGTCTTTTCCACTGATATTTTTTGCAGAGTTCTTGTTCATTTAATCATTTTCGTCGCAAGTCGGTTCAATTTGGCACACTCGTCCTTGTTACTTGTAGTGCTATATTACTGCTGAATAAATTTTTGAGTCTGAACAACCAATACGTAAGTTGACCTTTATAAAGAGTGACTGTCTGCCTCTAATGAGTAGTTTGAACGCCCTTGCAGTAACAAGATCATGATGAAACCTGCAATTTACCTGAAATTCCCACATTCAATCTCGAAATTTCTAAAAACTATCCTTTCATATCGCCAAATTTTATTGATAGACATCTGAGACATTCGCTAGGCAAACGTTTTTTGATATCCAATGCTGGTACATCTTTAGTTTAGGGGCTACACCGAGCAAATAGANCGTGAGCCGAAGCCCATACGTAGCCTCATCGCCGGGTGGGCGTGCCTACTACGCTGAGAAATGTGTCTATTTGCGCGTGTGAAGCCCCTAAACTAAAGAACTGCCCCAATGCTTTTTGATATCTGGCAGCATATTTACAGATTCCACGGAATATAACGAAAACAGAATTGAATGATTCGCAGAGTGGCGTCTACATAACAAATCATACTTTTGAATGGAATGTAATAGAAAAAGATTTCTGTTCAGTGCGCTATCCAAATGTGAAAATGCTTATCGTTGTACATACAGCAATTTCACATCTCGCCACTCGTCAAACGTATCGTGAGATGTATGGTGATCGATTTTACGAACAGGTCAATGTTGCAAACTTTTTCACATACCGCCTAATATTCATCACATTTGCACATTTTTGAAATTGAGCAACACAATTCGAGAACAGTCCTTCATAGTAACAGAATCTATTGATGCGATGGGTGTCATGACCAGTCCATCTGACTGACGACATTTTGCCTAACGACACTTTGCCTAACATACATTTTGCATAAGGACACTTGGCCTAACGGACATTTTGTCTAATGGACATTTTGCAGAGCGGACGTTTTGCTATTGCATATTTTGCCTAACGGACGTTTTGTCGAATGCGCGTGCGAGATTGTTAGACCCGCCTATTCAGAAGATCTTGGAGTCTTGTAGCTTAGACTTTGGGTTAGGCTTAGGTTTAAACTTATGCTCAGATTTAGGCTTAGGCTTGAGCTTGAGCTTAGGCTTCGGTTTTCCGCAAAATCTTCTGACTAGGCGGGTCTGACAATCTTGCACTCGCGTTAAGCAAAATCTCCAATAGACAAAACTTCCGTCAGGCAGATTATCTTTAGTCAGATCGACCGGGTACCGATAGGTGTTACTTGTGTCGTTTCAGTTACATAAGAAAGGATGCGAATGTAGAGTAATAGATGAGCGTAAATTGTTTTGCAGATGGGCGTTGTGACATTATTTTTTCTTGGAATGCCATCCGATGATAAAGAACAATTACAAATACATAACGAAAGCCAAACTTATCATGATATCATTCAACAAGATTTTCTTGATACGTACAGAAATTTAACATGGAAGGTAAGTTTGAAAAAATTCAGTTGTCATACAGGTGTGATCAATTTCCAGTGAACCTATTGCCAACAGTACCAAATAGGATTTCTAAAATGATCAGAAATAAGAGTCATGAGTTTAACGAAAATTCTGCCAGAGAAAACTGCGTTTCGGCATTAAAAAGCCTGCATTACGCATCAGAGAATTATCTTCAAACTGACTGCGAAAAGAAAAAAATTCTTCAGCGATCGAAATGTACCGTGTAACAATCATTGTTCAGGCGATCTCGTGGCTGCAGTACGTGAATGAATTTTGTGAGAAGGTGGAATTCATTCTGAAGGTAGATGACGATTTGGTGTTCGATTTGATAGCGATTGAGAAATATTTAAGAAGGAAGTCACCATTATCTGATGATGCTAATGTGAACGCAAACCTGATACTTTGCCATGTATTTTCTGGTGTTCAGCATTATCCAGTCAGAGATGAGGGTGCCAAATGGTAATTCGCTCTCTTGCATTAATATAATATTTCGTTCGTTTTTGGAGAGAGACTTTGCAATTGAGAAATTATTTGGCAAAACAATGTTGCTAACTGCTGGTTTATTTACGTTAGTATCATTAAATTTTGATTGATTCAAAAATTTGATAACTTTTATGGCATAATCCCTATGAAATATCAAATTTAATGCAGGTACGTCTCGAGGGAAGAGTACGAACCTGATTTTTACTATCCGTACTGCCGTGGAATACTGTATTTGATGTCACGAAGGACTGCTGTGAACTTGTTGAAGGCATCAATTGGAGAGAAATACTTTTGGGTGAGAAGTGTACTCATAATTTGGAAACAAATTGGGATGTTCACCCCGAGAAGATGTCTCTCCGTACTCAGTCCATTTTTGCGACAACATTCCTGGTTATTCCCCTGAATTTGAAATACTTGAGATGGAATCCTTTGAAAACATGCTAACATCGAAACCTACATATCATATCGGAAATCATTATGTACCAAAGAAATGTAACATAAACAAAAATATGCACCAAAAAGTATGCTATATCTGAAATCATTCAATTTCTGACGTTTCACATTCAACTTCAAAACTCGTCTTGAAGGATTTATTCTGTTAAACCGTTGCAGATCGATGACTACTTTATCACAGGACATTTGGGTCACAAAATTGGTGTTGTATTCGATAACATAGCGTTGTTCGATGCTGGTGAAGAGCCGATGATGGAAGGAAGGAGTTGGCTAACTGAATCGCAGGATATGACCGAAGCGATGAATTTATGGAAAAATTTGGAAGAAGCACATAGAAACGCGTCGAATTCAATCGTCCTCTGGTTATGAAGATGAATCAGTTTATTACGTCGATAATATCCACAAGGAATCTAATGAGAAGTTCTTGTATTTCATATCACACAACAAGCCACCAGCAGATCTTGCCTTGCGACCTGTCTTCGCTCTCTATGTGGGCGCAAGTCTACCGATCTCCATGTTACTCTTTGTTGAGCAGATCTTTTCCATTTCTGACCAAACATTATGACAAGCGGTTCATCTCATCTCATTCATGGTCTGCCCAGGGGCCTCTTCACTCCTCTTGGAATCCACTGCGTTATTCGACTAGTCCAACGGTTANCTATGTGCCCAGCCCATCTTCTTTTACTGGTATACATTTCGTTTACTACGTCTTTCACTCTGGTCATCGAACGTAGTTCCTCATTTTTTATCTTGTCTTTCCGTGATTCTATTATAGCAAATTTTTCTTGTGCAACTCTTGTGGTTGCCCACGTTTCATTTGCACAAAACATGGCCGGGAGGACTGATGAGTTGAATATATTTGTTCTGATTCTT